AAAAAAAATATTGTGTGTTTATGGATGGATTATGGTGTTTCCCCTAAGCAACCATCACTGTCAGAACAGCTCCTCAATTTTATGCTTCTCTCTATGATTCTCAGTTGGAAAATCATCATCCATGTGAGTGATGTGCATTTGCAACATGACCAGCAGGCCTTGACAGTGACAAGAAGGAAGATAGACACTACTGTTGTGTTTATGCACAAAGCAATTTCACCCAGGGAAGAGACAGCAGAAGAGACTGACTACAGTCATACGATCCCACTCAGTTTCATTTTGAATCATCCTAAAATGCATTTGTGCTGACCTGGTCCTTGGTTACTCAGTTTGGTACAGAATACAAAGAGACAGTCAGAAAATGTAACAAACAAAAAAGCACAAAAAAAACCCCAATGGCGTGCTATGTGCTTTCCTGTGCTTTTCTCCAAGGATTTGTGTTAGTGGGAAATACCTATGTTGGCAGACCAAGAGAGACAAGACTGCTGCCACTCTATGTTCCCAGGTCCAACCACTAATGAGGCTGAACACATATTCCCAGTTGACACACACACGGAGCACATGTATACAGCATAAAAATACATATATATACACTGCTGGTCATACAGATAATGAGCAGATACACAGATCACTCACACCAACACTGACAGCACCATCAGCCTCATCCTGCTCCCTGCAATAGCTGAGGAGGATGGAGGTCCATAAGTGGGAATATAAATACAAAGTGGAGTCCTCCAGTAGGAGGACTTTGTCCAGCAGCTGCTCCCGATCCCAGTCTCCCCAGTTATTGCCACCTGGACATACAAACTCTCAAAACAACAGCCCCACTCACGCTTCTGATACAGACCATCATCACACATATACACAGCCAGAGCTGCCCAGGACTCTCCTGTTCCAAATAGCCCCACTGACTAGCAGTCACTCTCAACCTAGATGAGGCCCTTAAAGTATTCCACACCCAGCCTGCTTTATGAACCCACTGACTCATCTGACCTTATCTTTGTCAGCAATACTCATCCCACAGACGCACAGGCACCCTGCCATACACAGAGATTAAAGAGCCCCTTATGAGAAAACAGCCAAAGGTGGAACTATTGAGGAGACATGGCAAACTGTGTGGTCAGGAGCAGGGCATGGCCAGACAAGCACTCTGACCAGCCAACTCTTTACACAGGTAAACCCTTTTATTCGCTTGTTCCACACTTGTTACTGACCAAATATCTTAAACCCCTCCTTTGTCCTGCTTTTGGTTGCTCCCCTGAACATCCCATGATGAAATCTGTGCAGTCCCCAAAAACTCTTGTCCTCCACCACCTGATGTGTCCCACATCTCCAGCTACCATCCCTCCTTAGTAAGCCAGAGAGCTGTTCCCCATCACATCTCATGCTAGATTTCCCACCTGGACACCAGAGCTGAGCCTCTACTGAGCCAGCCCTGGGAGGGAACCAGACAAGATCTCCTTTCCTCTTAGTGCTTAATTTGTGTTC